TAACATATGATCATCACCTGATGTTATTGTAAAAAATTTAGTAACGTGATTACTATTGAAATGTAGATCATTTCACCATACCCTTAAATGCTTTATGCTCATCTTTTTCGACTCCAATTCCGTTTTGATAACAATAACCAACTTGAAATGTTCCATAGTCATTTACCATTTCAGCCGATTTTTTAAAGTACATGAATGCCTTATTTTCGTTCTTTTCAACGCCAGCTCCATAAAGATAATAATAGCCAAGATTAACTATTTCATCAACATTCTCCACCTTAGTATATTCTTGATCATCGGTATTCTTAGGTGTGCTATCATGATGATACGTAATTAGTAAGCTTTCGTTGCTTTCTAAATAATTTTGTTTATCCTCTACAAACCAAATAAAATATTTTTAAAATTTTATACGAAAAATCTATTAATATTTATAACAAAATTACCTGTTTTGTCCGATTTTACGAAATTTATGGGATAAATTCGACTGCTGGCATAAATTGCTTCAGAATATATTTTGACATGAGATGGTAAGGATACAAAATCACAAGTTATTTCGTCGGATTTTCTTATTTGAGAAACGATTTCAGTTGATTCATTGCTTAAAATTTCATTATACCAAGTACTTATCGTTTCATGAATTTTCCTAGAACTTGGTCTTTTATCTGGCTGATCATCCCAACAACTGGTGATTAATTCAATTATTAATTTTGGTACATGTGCTGGAATACTTGGACGTAAGCCATTATAAATCTTATTTTGCAATTGGATATCGTGCGCAATACCGTCAAATGCTAAAGTACCAGATACTATTTCATATACAATAATGCCAAATGAATATACATCTGATGACATACTGTATGTTCTATTGTATAGTACCTCGGGTGCTATATAAGGAATTATACCGAATATTTCGTCATTTGATCCTATATTAGCTGATGCTGAAAGTCCTAAATCTGCAATATATGCGCTATGGAAATCATTTAAAAGTATATTTCCATCATGTAAATCTCTGTGAATAATGTTATGTGAATGAATCATCTGAAGATCAGAAGCAATGCATTTTAGTAATGACATTTTCTCTTTCCATTCAACTTGTGATATGGAATAAAGGTGTTTACGTAAAGAACCCATTTTTGCGTATTCCATGACAAGGATATAATCCTTAGAAGAATCATCTCTTGATATACCAAAGCACTTTAAGAAGGTGGGATCTTTAAGAGCAATGTCACAATAATTCATTAACTAATTAATGTACATAAATACATAAATAATTAATTCATTGTAATAACAAATCAAATAAAAAAAATATATAATAAAATTACCTCATTTTTAAATGATTCATAGTTAATTTTAGACCCATTAAGCAGTCTTTTAAGTGCAACCGTTTCTTCAACTGATTTATTTTTGTTAATCCATTTAGCAGAATATATAGAGGCAAATCCACCTTTTCCTATCTCTTCAATATCTTTAAATTCATTATAAGGAATCCATGATAATTGATATCTTTTATCAGTTAACATGTTCATTAGGTCATCATCGATGTCCGAGTTTTTAAATGTCCATTTATTTTTACCTACATAATACCATTAATTGCAGTTAATTTTTTATATTCGAATATCAAATCAAGTTAATAGCAAAAGATTACCCTTCATTCCTTTTTTTTTGCCTAAATAAAATCAAGCAAATAAACTTAATAACATGTCATATACAATTCTCTGCTTATTTTGTGCGAAGAAAATCAAAATAAGATATAACTTATTTACATTTGATACCAGAAGTTTGCTTTTTGTAGATCAATTGTTACTCCAATTCCATTTCGATAGCAATCACCGACTTTCCCATTCCCGCAATACATCCCATTTCAGCAGATTTTTCATAATGAATAAATGCTTTATAATCATCCTTTTCAACTCCAGTTCCATGTCGATACATATTTCCAATTTGATACGTTCCTTCAGAGTGTCCCATATTAGCAGATTTTTGATAATAAATTAATGCCATATTCTCATCTTTTGTGACACCAATACCGTTCGCATAACAACGACCAACTAGAAATGTTCCATAACCATTTTCAGCTTCAGCAGATTTTTGATAAAAAGCGAATGCCTTATATTCATCCTTTTCAACTCCAATTCCATTTAAATAACAATCAGCAACTCTAATTATTCCAAAATGATACCCCATCTCGGCGGATTTCTGGTAGTAAATGAACGCTTTATGTTCATCCTTTCTTACTCCAATTCCATTTCGATAGAAATTACCAACATTATAAATTCCTGCAGAATTCCCCATTTCAGAAGATCTTTGAAAATAACTAAATGCCTTATTTTCATCCTTTTCTACTCCAATTCCTTCCTTATAACAATAGCCAACAAAGGCTATCCCTTCAGAATTTCCCATTTCTGCAGATTTTTGATAATAGAAGAATGCTTTGCGTTTATCCTTTTCAACACCGATTCCAAGAGAACTTTTCATCTCAGCGCATTTTTGATAGAAAATAAACGCATTATGTTCATCTTTTTCAATGCCAATACCTTTCTCATAACAATAACCAACATGGTCTGTTCCTTCAGCATTTCCCATTTCAGAAGATTTTTTATAATGAATAAATGCCTTGTATTCATCTTTCCTGACTCCATTTCCATAAAGATAGCAATCTCCAAGTTTATTCATTCCCATAGCGTTTCCCATATAAGCCGATTTTTGGTAATATATAAAGGCCATATGCATATCTTTTTCAATTCCAATTCCATATAAATAACAATCGCCAACTTCATACATTCCATGCTCATATCCTAACTCGGCTGATTGTTGATAATATAAGAATGCTGCATGTTTATCCATTTTGACACCTATTCCACTGTAATAACAACACGCAAGGTTATAGATTCCGGCAATATGCCCCATTTCAGAAGATTTTTGATAAAGAGTAAATGCTTTGTGTTCGTCCTTTTCAACTCCATACCCATTTCGATAACAATTACCGAGAGAAAATGTACCATCAGGATTCTCCATTTCAGTAGATTTTTGAAAATGAATCAACGCTCTATGCTCATCCTTCTTGACTCCAATTCCATTTTGATAACAATAACCAACTCTAAATATTCCGATAGAATCACTCATTTCGGCAGATTTTTGATAATGAACAAATGCTTCTTTCTCATCTTTTTTAACACCATTCCCATAAAGATAACAATCTCAAAGTTTAACTATTCCCTTAGCATTCCCCATATTAGCTGACTTTTGGTAATAGGCAAATGTTTTATTTCTATCTTTTTCAACACCAATTCCATTTTGATAACAATAACCGGCCATAAATATTCCATTAGAATCGCCTAACTCAGCCGATTTTAGATAATAAGAGAATGCTTTATTTTCATCCTTTTCAACACCAATTCGTTTTAAATAACAATTACCTACACTGTACATCCCATGGGCATGACCCATTTCTGCTGATTTTTGATAATAAAAAAATGCATGGCTTTCACTCTTTTCAATCCCAATCCCATTTAAATAGCAATATCCAAGATTATTCATTCCAACGGCATTTCCCACCTCTGCACTATTATGATAATATATAAATGCCTTATTTTCGTCCTTCTCCACAGCAATTCCATCTTTATAACAATTACCGATTTGGATCATTCCATCCGAATCTCCCATATCTGCAGATTTTTGATAATGAATAAGCGTTTTATGTTCATTCTTTTCAATACCAATACCACTTTGATAACAATAACCAAGTCTACTCATTCCGCTTGTATCACCCATATCAGAAGACTTTTGATAATAAATGAATGCTTTACGTTCATCCTTTTCAACGCCAGCTCCGTTTTCATAACAATATCCAAGGCTGCACATTCCTGCAGCAAGTTCTAACTCTGCGGCCTTTTGAAAATAAATGAATGCATTATGATTATCTATTTCAACTCCATCACCGTTTTGGTAACAAATACCAACATTATATACTCCGTTCGGATCATCCATTTCGGCAGATTTTTGATAATAAATAAATGCTTTATTTTCATCCTTTTTTGTCCCGATTCCATTTTGATAACAATTACCAACATTATAAATTCCAGTGATACATCCCATTTCAGCAGATTTTTGATAATAAATAAATGCTTTATTATCATCCTTCTCTGTCCCGATACCTTTTT